ACGAGTTTGTACAAAACAAACAATAGCAGTTGTACCCCCTTCACATCTAAGAGACCCTATCCCATTCCTATCTCAATAGACATTTAAATAATATGCAGTTATTTCAGACTTGAGCAATTGGTGCACTCAATTCTTTGATTAAATTGAGTTGTCTCCCCTTAGTCTGTCTCTAGAATAAAACAGGAACTTGTGAGTTATAACTAAGGTCTGCATGCCACTAAGAAAAGACTGTGGGCTCCAACCCTCAACCTTATGTATTGAAAAAGAAAATTCGAACTCACCATCTAGGTAGATGCAGATAAACAATTTAACTTAAAGCTAGCTTCAAACTGAATTGGCTTCAAATACCTGCAAAAAGAAACTATTTGTAAATAGGGGGTGGGGGTTTTAGGTGCATCTCTTTAGAGAGTGGAGGCAATTTTGATTTGGACGATATTTAGCTATGAATACAACAGCTTGAGATAGTATGACGAATGGGGGCTGCTTATTATGACAACCTTCACTATCAAAAACATCTATTGCTATATGCAGGTAAGAAAGAAAATTTGTCAGGGCACGAGGGCTTATCATATCCATCGCATAAGAAAGGGCGATGTGCAATGAACGAGAGGGCAGAAGGGTTAATCACACACTCCGCATGAAAAAAGTCAAAATTATGTCATGGGAGTTATTTACAACCATAAGAAAAGATGATGCAATGAATGAGATGGCAGGAGGGCTAATCACACCCATCACATGAAAAAGGGGCGATATGCAAAGATACCCAAACCACAGGATTGTACAATACTCCCCCCACCTCTACAAGGGCAAGGGCAGGATCTTGTGTATATAAATATAAGCTCACCTTTATCAAAATGTTGACAGAAATTTCAAATGTCTTCACTTTCAAACTATCTTTGGAACTAAATGGATCCATTTCTTCATCTGGTATCTGCACAAAATTGAAAAAATATTTTAGTACATGCTGTAATGACCCAAGACCACAACACAATAACAATACCTCCACCTAGTCGGATGTCCTTGTAAGCTGGTGATTTAAATAATTGAGTAACAGTGTAGGCCTACCCTTAATTCATAAAGTCCCACCCCATCCAATTATAACAACTGATGAGGTGGGCAGGAAGGTTTTTCAAACACCCTGCATGAGGAAATGCGAAATAATGCGAGAAGGGAGAGGGCTCTTCACACACAACCATGAGAAAAGACGATTTGCATTGAATGAGGTGGCAGAACGGCTAATCACACCCACCGCCTTAGAAAAAACGATAATTATACATGGTTATCAAATAATGACCAATAAAATGGTAAAACATTTAACAAATCTGTGCAAATATATTGACATATTTGTACAAGAATAATAAAAAGTTTTAAATCTCAGATATTGAAGTAGAGTAGGGGTTGGGGTGTGGAAGGGCTAGCTAGAGGTGTGGAAGACAGGGGAGAGGAGACAGGCTATCACCATGCCTCATGACCACCTTGACTATCAAAAACATAAACTTACCAATTAAACCTGGTTGATTGGTTTCTTTCTTCACAATGGTAACCTCGGGATCCTATCGGTAACAGTTAAATCTGCAAAGGTAAATTTCAGTGTTAAACAAACTTAGCTATGAAGGAATATTTACCCATCCGCCCTCTCTTTCAATAAGAACAGCTCTATAAATTGAAGAGAATATCAAGTGCTATATGCAGAAGAGACAAAATTTCACAGGGCAGGAGAGCTAAAGCACCCACCGCATGGGAAAATACGAAATGCAATAAACGAAAGGGCAGGAGGCTAATAACACCCACCTCATGAGAAAGGATCTAGAGGGCAAGTTGGCTAATCACGTCCACTGCATGAGGAAACGTGATATGCAATGAATCAGGACCAAATCATATGCAACTGATGAGGGTGGGGAGGCGAAATAATGCAAGATGGGGAGGGCTCTTCACAACCATTAGAAAAGACAATTTGCATTGAATGAGATGGCAGAAAGGCTAATCAAAACCCACTGCTTGCAAAAAAAGAAAGGCTTATTACACCCATGACATGAGAAAATGCAAGGAATGAGATGGCAGGAGGGCTAATCACACCACCCGCATGGGAAAAGGCGACATACAACGCGAGGGCATATTCACCACCCCTTCACCCCCAACAACAGGCGATTTACAAAGGCTATTCAGTTTGAAAATGCCTTGGGCTTGGAGGTGCAAAAATGATAGGTCACTAAAAAAAGGGGGTGGGGGGTTCCAATCATGCTTTCAGTAAAATTGTCCAGAAAATCTGTGGAAATCTGCATTGCTGATTGGATTTTGATCAAAGTTAAAAGACTAAACTTACCATTTGAATTGAAATCCAGTCTATTTCCTTTGAATCTTGACATTTAAATCCTTGAGAACAATAATCCTACAAAATTTCACAATATAATTTAAAAAATATTCCTTATTCTTGGAAATGCCACTGAGTAATGAAAAGCCCGCTAAAACTTGCAGATCCAAGTATGCAAGTGACAACGGTGCGCGTTACTCCTCCCATTTTTAGAATGACATCAAAGTTTTGGCCAATCATCTGCTGTCTTTTACTCAACACGTGCCTAACGTCTGAGTCCGTGCTGCCAAATGTTGTTTAATATTTCTGGAGGTTAAAAGCTGTCAAAAATCCGTCAACTATTTGACATGATAACTATTTGAATTTAAAGATTCGTTTCATGGATTTTTTCAGATTGTAGCTCGCAATGACTTAGACAAGAGATGGGGGCACAAATGTTCATATTAAAAGTCTAAATTTTCTTTTAAATCGAGAGTAAATTTTAATCACAAATCGTTTAAAAAATTCTAACAAAATACTCACATTTGTCTGATGTTCATTATTCGAATGACGACCTTTAACTTCTCTGTTTAGTAATAATTCGAGCCTAAACATCAGTGCGAAATACATGGCACTACGTTCCCTCTAAAAATAAATCGAAATACATTTAGGACTTACCATTTTTCCGAAATATTACGATTTTACATACAAAAATCTCCCTTTTTACGATACATTCCTCAGAAAAATGTCATAGAAAATAGCCCCCCACCCCCCATATTTTTCCCTGAAACACAAACCCTAAATGAAAGTCACATCTTGTCCTTAAAATACAAGCAACAAATAAATCGAACGTTTTCCTGTGAAAAATTTGACGCATATTTCGCGTGAACAGCCAGGCTTTACTCACACTAATAAAATATTTGATTTTCAACGCCAGCCCTTCACAAAATAAGGAATTTTGAGATGGCAAACAATGAAAAAAATGTGACAGGCAGGAACGAGACCTGTTGTTCACGCAAAATTATTGTTTAATTTTCTCAGCAGAACATTCAATATTCTGCGTGTACTTTTAGGGTGCAAAATGTGCTGCAATGGTGCTTCCTTTAAGATTAAAGACTGGACAGGAGGTGAGAATTAAAAACAATTGCATATATTACTACTGACTATGCAATCATATTAAGTGACCTATAAAACTGTCCAAATTATTTACCGTGCATAATTTCAGGGTTAAGTGCGTTGCATTATGGCTTCATAAGAGATTTTGTGATTGGGCGAGAGGTAAATGAACTAGTATTTCATCGTTTGTGGAGGGGGGTGGGCGCTAAACCTATTCGGTGAAAATTGACGTCAAATTTTCTCAAAAACTGTTAAAATCAAATTGTGTGTGTTTTGTGGGGTAAAATTAGTAAAGATGTTCATGAAATACCTTTCAAAAGCGTTCCAGAGTTGCCTTTTCGCAAGAAACACCTCTCGCACGTCTTCCTGTTTCCATTTTGGCCGTAATATGAATTTTCTCGACGTCTGCTGACGTCGCCTCGTTTTCAATCTAGCCTCTTTGCAAGTGAAAGGGTGGATAAGAAATTGTTGTGGGCACAAAAATAAAGATTTGCTCACTAAAAATAGGAAATTTTTGGGACGGACCCACCTGAAATATTATTACATTATCGTTTTTATCATTGAAATCTATTTTTGTGTTGAAAATAAATTGATAGGAATAATTTTTTGGTAACAACCTCTTAGAAAAATAATCGGTCCCTGAAAAAGGACCAGACGACATGCACATGACTCAAAAAAGGGGGTGTGGCTATAGTGTAGTCCGAAACAGTGCGCAAAATAGTCATAGGCTAAAATTTCGAAATAAAAAAATACCAATCAGCAAAATAAAACACAGTAAACGATGTGTTTCTGCTCTTGAATATATGAAAATATATGCATGTGCATAGTTGATGTTAGAAATTCACTGAAAATAGGTCAGTGTATTGTGGAAATGAATGGGATTCAGTCTGTATTTCGCTTCTTCCGAAAAAAGCCATGGTGTCATGTTGTACCGGTAGCCATAATATACTTATCAAATAAGGCCTTTTTGTATTTATTTACTTTATTTTATCGACCAATAGCCTACTCTTTCAAACTGCTTAAATTGCAGGATTGGCAGTGCTTTATTTTCTAAAATCAACCCCACACCTAGAATGGATTTGAAAAGAATTTGGCAGTGGCCACTCTCAATCAAGTTCTGTAGCCGCTGCTGGCTAAAATGTCCAGATCAGAATAAGAAATAGCATATCAATATATCTTGTGCTTCTTTGATAGGCTTAAATGTTTAAAATCTAAATTGGAATCATAATAAGTCTTTGTGACCAAACAAACAGACGACAATTTGTCACATTTTACCAACCCTTATGTTGTATAGTCTATAGGAGAGATTTAACTGTTGTCTGTAGCCTAGCTCTTTAACGTCGAAGGCTTGAATAGCCCTCCATGTGTTTCCGGTTCCGGTTCTAAAGTTTGTACACTACTTACTTCAAATTTCAATAATATTGAATAAAATAAGATTGTCAGTGGTGTGAAATGAATGTGACATAAAGAAATGTCTTAAAGGAATCAGGGAAATATAGCGTCACCTGTCTCAATGACACAGCAACTGGGAAATTAGCTATAGTGTAGCGGCAAATCGTCATGTACTTCTACTAGGGTGATGTCTGATCGAGCTCCAAAATAATTGATCCTACTTGTTATGTGTTTATCCATCTAGGTGTAGTCTGTGGTGCCAAGAAGAGACCAAACTGTGTACATCTTGCCACTGCAATGTTTTTAGTGAGCTGCATACTCGATTCTATGCACCCTTTACTAAGTGGCATGTTTTCAAACAAGGAAATTTAAGACCAGTGATTCGATAGAAAAGCTTCTTCTATAAATCTCAAAACAGAATTTTTATACCAGTGTTTCAAAAGAACACCTGATCCATGAATTCTAGACTAAAATTCCCAATCTTTATAAAAACACAACTTAAATCCAGAATATACTAAATGACAAGATTTATTACAGCACTTTATAATAAATAATAATAAATACTAACAACATCTTATAGTTTTGAAATTTATTCCAAAACAAAAGCCTTGATATAAGTAGAATATTTGTAAAAGCGAGATAAGAATTGTAGAAATGATACAAATGGCATCCAACGCACGTTAGCTGAGGGACTAGTTTTATGGGCTTTGATAATTCAACAGACTTGAAAAGAATCACATAAATATAAGACAAACGATATCAAATTATGAAATATTGACAATGAGTGATTTAGTTAATGATAGATAATTGATGATAGCTATGGAATGACCATCTGTACAATGTCAAGATATTACGAACTGCGTCTAATACCTTGACTTCATAAGGCTCTTTTCTTGTGTCATGTAAGTTTGTAAATGCAGCGATTTGGTTGTATTGTATGCTACCAAATACAGTCAAAAGAACATCTGTAATTCATATTTCATCATGTTTTAAGTCTTTATGTCGAGGACTCTTATTGCGTACAATCCAATCAAGTCGCTGCATTCTGTGATACATCTTGCAGGCATAAAACCCTATCAGGTCAAGGTTTTGGACACAGTTCGTAATAGCTTGATATTGTGAAGATGTGGAATGACAGAAAGTATGTACATCTTATTAATATCAGTATATAATCTGCATGTTTCTAGCTGATGAATATGGAAATAATGTCGAGATGAATATGAATGGACACAAACACAAATACAGGATTTCAAGTAGGTCGGTGAACACAATTATCCTACAGGCAATGCAACTGATGAATTACACCAAGCACATAGACCTGAAGATGAATTACAGCAGGTATTACAAGACAGGCAAGCACATAGACCCTAAGAACAGTCTTGTCTGAAAGCAGAACCATTTTTTCCGTGAACATACTAATTGGTGGTTCATAGAAATTATTTGTCCATATCTGAAACGAAACGATTTCTCTATTATTCTTCGTCAATGATTCCATTGAATGATCTTGACTCCAGCAGATTGCTTTTCTTCACGGCTTATCTTCATTCTGGGCCTTACTGTCTTCGCATTATAAAGATAAAGAACGCTGATTGGACATCCACATATATTCACACACCAATATCAATGAGAATTTCTTCAGGTTGTAGCAACTGCTGTGGATTCATTGGTATCATCCTTTTCAAATATTATTCTTAAGCGTAATCTGTTGGACCTAAAAAAACAACATAAAAGTGATTACTTACTCCTGTAGAGATCTGTTCAAGGTGAAATTATTGTCTCATCTATTTTAGTAATCTATTGAATAGGACTTGGGAAGGGTGGTTATCCTATATGGGAACATGATGCAAGATCTTAAAACGGCAAAAATTGGTCAATGCATCCAGATGTTCAGTAGATTCGGATAGAATAACTCTATGCCTAATCGGGGAATCTGCAGTTGGAAACCTTACAAAGTGTTAGGAATCCAGAAGTGGGTTCAATTGGCTTTGGAATAAGGGATTATATTTCCAAATTTGAATGTAGTCCTATGAGAAAACTTGATACATAAGCAACAAAATGAACGTCTTTAACTTATTCCTAGGTGAAATTTATCTTTAAGATAGACAGAAATAGTCATGGGCAAAGGAGCACAAGTCATAATACTGACATTTATTAACTCAACGTTTCACATGCTCATACAGGCTGTGTTATCAAGAGAAGTTTACCTTTTAAGATAAATCCAGAGTACGACTCCCAGTAATTCCTTGAGAACTATGATAGATAGGAATAATACAATAACTTGACATGTATTGGATATTACTTGTTTCATATTACTGAGCAGAGATTCCAACTGTACACTAGCTGCTTTATTGTATGGTGACTTCTTTCTATAATATAAAGAAACATTTTAAACTGATATATGACCACGAGAGTTCTGACAGAGCGAATTATTATACTACATTTAAATTCACTTTTAGTGGTTCACCAATCAAATTATTAGATGCTAAAATCATTACAAGCTACGTTTTTGTGAATGAGGCTGTAAATAAACAATTTTATTAAAATTTCTTTTGTTTTCTGATGTATTTCACCTCCATTGTAATCTAACAAGTTTTCTAATATAGTACTGTTCCAATGATGTTATTCTTAACGATTCAAAGGGTGTCATGTAAGACTTATTTTATGTTGATTGCCTGAAAAAATTGATATTAAACAGACTAACCTGTGATACAATTGTGGTGTAATAGGTGGAAATCTACATCCAGGACTAGATACACTCAATAACTCATCATCATCATCATTCTCTACCTCACAGTTAATATTCAGATTCAGATATTTCACGTACTGACAGTACGAATGGTTATGTATCCGTCCAATAGCTTGCTGTTGTTTCTTGTGTAGATGAACAGCAAATTTATGACGTTCTATATAAGCTGACATCCAATTTAAATAACTGGGATATTCCACTGTATTTATCTGATGAGCATGGGCTATTATTCTGGTATTTACCATCTGATCTTGTAGATCTTCATATGTTGCCTTAAAAAAATAAATCAAATCTTTGCTTTAAATTTTCATAACTTTTAGGCCTTCCTACCGTTGCTAGGAGTAACAGAGCAGAAAACTTAATTCATATTTCTGATAATTAATTTTAGATCACTATCTTATGACATAAAATGATGGGTGTGCAACAG